CAGAACTAAAGTTATTTAATAAATTATATAAAATGATCATTAAAAATTTTATAGTGATAAATTTATTTTTAAAAAATAATACACATTTAACTTAGCTTCAATTTTTGCAACATAAAAAGAAGATGAGCCAAAGGTGGACTTAATTAATAAGTTGATATGTTATACATTGTATATACATATTGGTGATTCAAAAAAGTGTTTGAGGTCAATTTGCATGAAAAACGTACATTAATATTTGTAAAATTAGTTAAATAACTTAATAAATTATCTTTTTGTATTGATTTATTAAAAATATTTAATTAATTTTACAATTACTCTTTTATTTTTTTTTCTTGTAAATTTAAAAATCCACAACTTCCTAACAATTGGTCCTTGGAAATTGTTATAGATTTTTCAGTGTTGTGGATGGGGTAATGAACTTCAAACACGTAATTTGCAGTGCATTCAGCTTTGTCTCCTACCTGGACGAGACATCCTGCCCCCACTAGCAACATGTTGTCCTGCTTATTTTAGAAGTTCGTCCCCCTTGCAAGTTACCCCATATTTCACTGTCATTTTCATTTAAAAAAAAAAAACTGTCTTTTCATTATTGTAATGTTTTGCTGTTCTGCCTGCTCAGCAGAACCGACCGTTGACACCTTTGAAGCCCCTTTAATTTTTTTTTTTTTTTTGGTAGAAAACGACAATATATAGATTAGATAATAGTTACATCCCTGGGAACTGAGTTCCCAATAGTGTCAGAAAGCAACAACATAGCAACATTCATATTACATTGTTCAAAAACAGCAAACGGATTATTTAATCTAGTGCCTATTTTGGCTAAGCAGTCTGCAACCGAGTTAGCTTCACGGTAGATGTGAGTGGTCTGCACATCAGGGAGCTGGCGTAGGAGAACCCTGCAGTCAGATATAAGCACAGCAAGTGAGTGAAAATTACAATTTTCAGCATGCAAAAGAGTAAGAGCAGTACGTGAATCAGTCTCTAAGATAAGCCCATTATATCCCCTAGAAACAGCAAGTTTAAGACCGTCACGAATGGCCCATAACTCAGCCACAATGCTAGTAGTGTGACCAATGTTACGAGCAAATCCCAAGATCCAATTTCCCAAGTGATCTCGGAACACTCTTCCAGCTCCTGCCATACCAGGATTTCCAAAAGCAAATCCATTGGTGTTTAACTTTATAGCCCCTTCAGGAGGAGGATTCCATTTGACAAAGATAGTGGCTTTGCCTGGAGTTTTTGTTGCTTAGAACTGTAGTACTTTTGAAAATCTACAATTCTTGATTGAATAAGATCACATGCCACATTAATGGGAAGATTTTTTTCCTCATGAACAAGTTGGTTTCTGAGATACCACAAAGACCATATAATGAAAGAAAAAATGGTATTCCACTTTAAACCTCCCAGATTGGTTTGAAGGCAGGAGTGGCTCCTCAACCAATCAGTAAAATTAAGGTCAAGAAACATAGCATTAATGGGGGAGGGGGTGAGGGTATCCCAGAGAAGATTAGAATATGGGCATTCCCTAAAAAGATGATTAAGAGATTCTGGTTTCCTTTGGCACCTAGGACACAAATCAGAATCAGCAATACCCCAAGCAAAAAGAGCCTCTTTAGTGAGAAGTTTACCATGTCCTAATTGCCAAATAAAGCGTTGGATTTTAGGAAGGGAGTGTATATTCCAAACCCAAAGCCAAGATTCCTGAAGCTCATTAGGTATGTTCTTGGCTAAATAATAAGCAGATTTAGTTTGAAAAAGACCATTAGAGGAAAGGCCCCAACAGAAACCATCCTAATATTGAGACACAGATTGGATGGGAATGGCCTTAATTTTGCTTTTAATATCTTCAGGGAGTGGATATTCAATGCTATCCCAATCCCATTTGCCAGAAGGGAGAATAACTTCATTAATCATGAGGCTTTCCCCATTTAGGCTGAAGGGGCCGTAAAGGACCTCATTGAGAGGTTTGTTGCCAACCCAATTATCCGACCAGAACAGAATTTTGTCACCTGATCGAGGAATCCATTTAATCCCCTTCATAAGGATATGACTCCCTTTTGCAATATTATTCATGACAGGGGATAGCTTTTTAAAGTTGCTTTTTGGATTGTCAATCTTATATGTCTCACAGAAGGCTTTGGACCATAGTTTTTCTTTTTCAGTGAGAAGCCTCCAATGAGCTTTAGCCATGGAAGCTTGATTAGCGTCCTTGGATGATCTGAGGCCTAGACCTCCAACTTTTTTAGGCTGGGTAATCCGTTCCCATGATACAAGATGGGGTCTCCTTCTCTCCCTAAAAGTTCCCCAAATAAATTGTCGAGAGAGATAATCAAGTTCCTTGTGAACAACCTCTGGAAGGTAAATACCTTGCATATAATAGTTAGGAATGGCAGATAGAATCGAGGATGCAAGGGTAATTCTTCCAGCCCTGGAAAGCATATTGTTGAAGCCCCTTTAATGGCTAAAAGCACTTAATATTTATTAAATATGTGATTTATTTTA